GGGAAAGGAGAGTGAGGGTGTGGGAATGGTGGGGGGGGGGGGGGGGGGGGGGGGGGGGGGGGGGGGGGGGGGGAGGTGAACAAGGGACAGGGTTATAACCAGTTGGAATATGACTTACCAGCATGAGATATAGTTGTCACGAGCAAGAGTGAGACGAACAAGTGTATATTGGGCATTGTGATTCAGACCTAAGGTGAGAAGCAAAGAATTTTTATAATATAAGCAGGAGCCCATAACCCGGAGTGAGCAACTTCCATACTAGGGCTATGTCACGGCGTTTTAACGGACCAGTTTAATTTATTTTTAGACACATTTTAGGGCACTGTTTCCCGCGAAAATAGAATCTCTTCCAAGTCTATGAGCCCATTCGAAGTATAAGATATCAAAAAGGAAAACTAAATGTTATTAAAAGGCAAGAAATATCATTTCTAGGTCTGTAGGTTTTGCTGACTGGTTTGTGGAATTTACCAGATATTCAAAATTCGCGCCAAAACCGTTCTAAAAATAAACTGGTCCGTGGAAAAGCCATGACACGAGCGCATGGAAATTGCTCGCTCCGGATTATGGGTTCCTGTATGGTTGCTATACATGTGTGATATTTTGCTTCAACAAGTGACGCTATGTTATTGCATTTTAGGTGTGCACTAATTTCGGGGTACTCATCCCACAATGATGGTCAATATGAAAATCGCAGCAAAAGTCATGTACAGCCGTTCGAACGTTACGGCGACGCAAGGAAAAAGTTAGTTGATTGTCAGCCGAAGCTATTCAAATTGACTATTGCAAAACCGAGTTTTTCATGAAGCCACTACAGCGATAATTTTTCCTTGTCTGCGGGGTTCTCCTTGCAGCTTTTTGTTTTTAGACTTTGGTGTTACAGACTGGATATTATGCTTTGATATGGTTAGAAACAGCGGCTGCTGCAAATACAGTTTCAAAATTAAACTGCATAAAATCCTAGTCAAGGTGGTGGGAAAAAATCAAAAGAAAAGAACATAAAGATTTCAGTAAGACCCCGTAAGAGTAGCCTCCCCGCAGACGTCCTTTGGCGTTCGTTCGTCACGCAATCATTTCTTGAATGCGTGACGAACGAACCCCAGAGGACGTCTGCGGGGAGGCTACAGTAAGAGTTAGTGAAGAAGTTTATATTTTTGCCAACCATTTGTCAATAAAGCGTTTTCACTCCCGTGCCCAGCCGCTAAGCAAATTAATTGCAACAAAAGAAAGCGTTTACATAAGAAAAGAGTTCAACTCCCACAGTATTGGTTTGGAACACAAATATGGCCGCCGTTCCAGTGTTCTAGAACACCAATATGGCCCCGTGACGTCATCTGAAAACGCTTATTCACCTTTAAGGTGCTCGTCATGCGACCATTGAAGATTTCCTTTAACTTGCTGTGAACTGTTTGTTATATCTACAACAAACAATTTTCTTACGCCTGTTATACGAAATACAATCGACTCCCGATAACTCGAACCCTCGCTAACTCGAACCTCGCGCTAACTCGAACCAAATTCGATTTCCCCAGGATTTCCGTCATACATTCACTGTAATTTTATCCTTGGTAACTCGAACCCTCGATAACTCGAACTCCCGTTAACTCGAACCAATTTTCGTTTCCCCTCAGGTCATTTTCTATATAATTTTACTCTCAATAACTCGAACCATGTTTTGACTGGCGTCTGAAACATTGAATTTTGGATTTCCTATTGACGTGTTGTAGGAATATAGTTTACTAGTGGAGACTGATGTTGATTGTCACAGGCTAACATGAAGCAACTTTTCTTCTCAAAACAGCAAAACACATGCTCTATTTAGGCTAGAGTATCTTTTAATTTTCACATGACATTTTTACAATTAAATGTGATTAAAATGTTCACTGTGCAGTAAAAACTGTTTTTTACCTTACTCTCGGCTATTTTCTTTGAACTCCCGATAACTCGAACCTTTTTTCGATTTCCTCTGAAGGTTCTAGTTATCGGGAGTCGACTGTAGGAATAATATTGTTTGGACAGGTTTTGTCCACCAATTTTCCTAATTTGAGAAAATCTTTAAACTAAGATTGACGTTTGTCGTGAAAGTATGTCTCCCCAACATCATCATTTCAACATAATATGTAATGTTTTATCCTCTCTTTTAAAAGAAAACAAAGTTTGCGCCTTTTATCGTTTAATCCACAGATCTCTGGAATAGAAAGGAACGTTTCAAAACCAAAAATCTCAAGCAGAATATTTTTGCATGGACTAAGAGATATCAAGAAAACCACAAGTACACCACCTGATTATATAGAGAACGTTCGTCAAGTTAAATGGAAGAGTCCAATGCCGTCAACCGGTGGAGTTGTTCTGGGGTCCCAACTTTGCAGCAGTCACCTGTTGTACAAGGAAGTAATAACGGAGTAAAGAAAACGAGAAGACGGATCTCGGTCTTGCTTCTATTTTTAGGAAACTTGCTTCTTACAAATTATTTTTTGATAAGGTGCGGTACGTGACAACGGAAATACCGTTGACTGCCTTTCATCCGGGTCTTCGATCGTTAAAAAAACCGCGCGAAAACACAATCGCCTTTCATTCGATCTTCGGCCGTTGGAAGTAACCGTTGAAGTCGTGGGTTGGTTGAACGAAGGTCTAATCATTGTGGAGAGAGGATATCAAAGTGAAAGGATTTACTCACTTCTTTAAAGTTTGTGTATAATTCACCTTCTATTGCTTTAGTCGATTTAGTCGTAATGTGTGGGTTCTTGTTCGTTTTAAATTTTTCTTGAAGAAGCGGTACCAGCGTTTAGTGTGACATTCAGAGTCAAACAGCCCACTGACCTCCAATAGTTTAACTCCCGATCAAGCTTGTCAGCGCTAAGAATGCCTGTTATAGTTTGTTCACTTTTGAAAGTCCTATGGGAAACGTATTCTTTAGCGCAACTATCCGTGAATGATAAATAGGATTTTTTAAAGAAGATTGTCACAGACCTTCTGTCACTTAATTATTATAAAGAGGTTTTTTCGCTGGTGGTGATCGAAAAAACGGATTAAGTTAAATAAGATTGGTGGTTATTGTTCCATTCAGTGACTGATGCATTTTTTTATAAGCGTATTTTATAATTCCTTACTTTACTTGTTCTTTACTTTTTTGAATGAAAAAACGATCCATGTGTCGTGACCCTCAAGTTTCCGGAGCTTATAACTTGTGTTTTTTTTCTAAAAGTCTTGGCCGGTGCTACTAGAATGTGCCGCCTTTTCCGCTAACATAAGATAAGCAAATATTTGGAAGCACGGAATTGTCTTACTGTAAACAATGAAGTAAAAGTTAATTGTTTGTGTTTGGTTTTAGACGATTAAATTTATTTTCTTTCATGGCTAGCTATAATTGTTCTTCTGTATTACACATGTAAAGAGAAACGGATCTAAGGGCAAATCGGGTTAATGGCTCCTCTTGAATAGATCCGCGATATTCAAGTAGAACTCTTTAATGGCATAACTTTATTCTTATAATTGGCACATTGTTGACCTTTAATATTTATGTCTTCTTTGCAGAGCAAAAGGGAAAGGCAAGTGGATCAAAGCTTTCCGATGTAAAGAAGGTGCTGCGGATAAAAGGAAGTGGCGCAGACTGCAGCTGAGTTCTTATATAAATTATTAAATTTAAAGTTGTATCAAATTTGATGTGAACTTTGAACAGATTGTAATGGAAAATGAAAATGGAATATATCCTTTGCTGTAGGCCGCGCACAGTCAAGTATATTTCAATATAATATTACTTGCATTATCGTGTTCAAAAATATACTGTTTATTTTTATAAGGTTTAAGTTAAAACTATGGCATGTCAGTAAGATTGAGCAAGTTATTACGCCACGTCTATCTAATTCTTCTCCGTGCAACCACTCTAGCTAATCAAAAAACTAAGTTAAATGCCATCCAATAGCTGCGTTTTAGCCATGATTACACATCTATTTTATTGCTATCCAAACACTAGTTTTTAGTTATCAGACATCTAGTT